CGGGGAACGGGGCCCGCCCCAGGAGGAGACTGGGCGCGGGGGGGCGCCCTTCGCCGGCGGAGAACTGGCGGGCGCGCTGCCGGCGGAGCCCGAGGTCGCCGTGACCTTGCTGGGGTCAGCGGGCTGGGCTGCGGAGGCGGCGGCGCGGCGTCTTTGGTGGCGCTTTCCGGATTGGCGCAGAGGCCGGGAAACAAGGCGGGGGCGGGCGGGGGAACACAAATAGAAGGTGAAATTTTACCTGCCCCTGAGGGAGTCCTGCGGATTTTCTCCGGCAGCAGCAGGCGCTCTGCCTTTGTCTTACACGGCTGAAACATCTGTTGCAGAGGGGCGGCGAGGCCGCAACAACCCCCACACACCCTGTGCTGCTCCACGTCCCCCTCGGCCCCAGCCGGGCTGCAGGACTCCCGGCGCCGCGTTAACCTTGCGCGCGCTGGGGCGCGCGCCCGGCACCCACTGCCGCACTCCACACCTCGCGTGGGGCTCATCGCCCCCGCCCCGGATGGGGCCCTGGCGGGGGCGCCCGGTGACCCCCCCTCCATCTCGAAGGGGTGCGGAGGCGTCGGCGGGGGGCGGGGGCGGAAAGGGTTAATGGCCTAGTCGCAGACCCTAATTGTCAGAGCCGGCCCCGCTTCGTTTCAATTACCCTAAGTAGAGACTGAATGCGCAATTAACGAAGTCAGCTTGCCAACTGGAAAGCCGGCCCCGCTTTCACGTTGAGCAGAATACTCCACCAGCTGACTTGGACGAAGCAATTTCCTCCTCTCTCTCCCCTTTTTTCTCTCCCTCTCTCTTCCAACCCCCCTCCCTCTTTTTCTCTCTCCTTAATAATAAAATTATACCAAGCAGTTTGCGGTGTGGCAGGCGGCCAGAAAAGCGTTTCTTTAAACGCCGCCGTCTCACAATTAGGCAGCAAGAGGATTTGACACGCCGTGGCGGCCTGACAGGCGGCTTCCTCCCCTGGGGACTGGGGGGAGGGAGGGGGCGCCAATTCCCGGCTCCCCCAGGTGGAACCAGGGCTGGGAGGGGCTGGACTGCTGTGCCTCCCCGGCTGTCAGGATGGCTGCAGCGAGGGGGTGTCGAAGGCAGGGAAGCAAGGGGCGGTTCCGCCTAGGCTGGGGAAGGCGGAAGGCAGCGGCACATTCCACGACTCCTCGGGGAAGCTGGAGTATCCAGGGGGGAGACCTTGTTCCCCCTTCTGTTTGACAGGCAGGCACTCTAGGGCACAGAGCTGTGGAGGGATCTCAGCCTGCTGGGCGTCCTGCACAAGTCACTGGCCATCTCTGGGCTTCTTCCATTAATCGGTCGGCAAATTGAGGGGGAGGTTTGACCTAGAATGTGTTCTGCAAAAAGTGTCTTCTCGTGGCTCATTGCTCTTAGCAGCTGGTCTTGTAGGCCAGGAGGAGGGTGTAGGCGTAGGAACAAGCAGGAGACTCCTATCCGGTTTGGGTGGCAGACCCATGGGCCTCAAGGCACACAGAAGGGTGGAGCGGCGGGGAGCCATGATGCAGGCAGCTAATGGATGGGGTGACTTTGCAGGATTGCCAGGGATTGGTGCCATGAGGACAGAGGACGTTGAGCACTGGCTGCAGCAGCCTGGCCGCTTGAGCTCCGGGAGGGCCCAGAGAATTTGGCAGAGGTGGGAGGTGACTGCAGGGGACCCCACTTGCTCTTTGCAGCTCCCCAGCCCCACCCAGGCTGCTGCTTACATGGGGTACCTTCACCCTGCCTCACATAGTTAAGCCCCTCTTCTTCCAGCCTCCTCTGATACCTCCTCTTCCCACTCCCACGGCGCCTCGGGTGTCACTGCATCTCAACACCACATGGCAGTTGTCCATGTGCCTTTCTGCCTCTGGAGAGCAAGGGCCATGCTACTGTTTCGTGTGTGTCCCTGGCACCCAGCTTGGCCCACATCCAGACTGTAAGCTGAGCAGAAATGTGCTCCACAAGTGAACCAGTGCAGGCGCGAGGGGCTCTGGAGGAGCGAGCACACACTTTGTCTCCTTCCTGATTGGCTGTTGCTTGCATCCTGGCCTCCAGGCCCCTCAACCTCAAACCTGTCTCTGGATATCATCCCTTCAGTCTGTGTTGGCTAAGTGCACCCAACTAATAAAGCAAGTCACGTTGAGAGTTTAAAGAGCCCAGCACCCGGATCCATCTCGTCTGTTTATTTATCCAAGCAATACTGAAGGGGCAACGCTGGGGCCAGTTTCTGGGCTTGGAGCTTACGGTCAACAGAGGCAGTCCCTGTCCTCACGCTACGTTCTAGTGAGAGAGGCACATGTGAAACAGCTCATCGTACCATCAATTATGTAATTACCACGGCGATGAGAGCCACCAAGGAGCCTGGCGGGGGACCCAGGAGAGTGGGGGCGGGGCCTCACCCCATGTCTAGTGTGGAATGCCACAGAGGTTCTCATCAGCTGTGGGAGCCTCCAGCCTTTGCAGCCCCCTCCTCTCTGCACCTCCTTTCCTAGGTTGCTGGATGCCCCTGCAGGGGTCTGCCCTGCCTCTCCCCCCACGCCCCCAGCCCAGGGCACTCGCCTTTCTGCTCTCCTGCGTTGCCCCGCTGGTCTGTGCTGGTCCCAGAGCTTCTCCTGGGCCAGGGATCACTGTTCCTCCTGCGCTGGTCGCCTGCCGTGTGCCCCATCAAGCCCAGGCAGGTAGATCCCCCTGCATTTCTGCATGGGTTCTGTCAGCATTGACCCAGGGAGCTTGTGATCAAATACAGACCACAGACAGGTTCTCTTGAACTCTAGACTGTGAAATAAACAACTTTTTACTTGGTTGATAACATTTTCTTTTATTTTATTTATTT